TATCGAAAGGGAAAGCCAAACATAAGTATAGCTTCATTTCCACCCACCCCCCCCCCTTCGCATCTTTTGGCTCCCCTCAAGATGTATATCTACGTTCATGGAAATATAATCACAAGTGTATCATAACAATAAATAAAATACAGCTAAATGTTCTCCAACTTGTGTGAAGTAAGTCTAGACCCTTTTGAAAACAAAAAGCAAAAAAAAAATCGAAGATATTTCTTTAAGAAACATTGTCTTAAATTATGTCTGGCACTGGCTAATATCACACAGCGACAAGCAAAGCCCAGCAATAAATATGTATCTTAAATATTCGAACAGAATTTTAAACCAGCCAGCTAACCAGCATTTATGGTTGGAGTTGTTGTAAGGAGTTTCCCAAACCTCTTTAGAACAATCATTTGCCATTCAACTACCAAGCATTCCATTCACACACACACAGTCGGTAAGGCAAGGTTAAACTTTAGCAGGACTGAAGTCCAGAACAACGCACGATGGAGATCAACATCGTCATCATCACCAGCCTCAGCACCATCATTAATGCAATCGTCAGCGTCATATTCTCATAACAGGAGCGTGAACGCAATGTTTATCTTGATTGTACCTCTGTTCTGTTCTTTTGTTTTGCGTTGCTAGTTTTTTTTTTCTTTTTTGTTTCCATATTCCCTGGCCTTAATTTTTGTGTTTAAAAATGTTGACCATCATGGCCTGCCTGTTGACCATGCTGCTGCTGCCGATGTTCTTTATTCTGAACCACTTGTAAATCGTCAATAACAACATTGGTTTAATTTGGGAACCGGATTCCATTTCCAAACATATGTTTATGACTATTATGTGAACTGATTATGTATGATGGCGGTGTGTATGTGTGGTGTGCATGTCTGGGTTTTAATCGGTGCATTGACACAGGGTGGACTGTTAGGAGAATGGATGGAAAATTAGGGGGCAATGGTATTTTGTGTCAAATAGAGGATTTGCATCCTAAATTGCTATTTTCTGGTCTACTTGAAGGATATAAAATCTAAAAATCAAATTTTTTGGTCTTAGGATTTACAAGCCATTTATTTCCTTTTTTTACTTGGACAGGTTGGCCTGTAAGAAAGGTGGATTGAAACTTTGGGGTCACTGGGTTTGTCAAAGATATGATTTGGGTCCTAAATGGCATAATTTGGGGTCTTGATCTTAATGTCAAATCTAAAAAAATCAAAATATATTATATTTGGAGAAAACTGACAATCATAGTTTGTTTTCAGGTTTCGTGGGCCAGATTTTGCAATTTCCAAAAAATGCCCATAATTTTTTGCAATGATCTTTTTAGGATCTAAAATGTTTGTCCGTTTTTTTTTCTAAAATCGCTGTAAATTAATTGAAAATACTAAAACATTTACAATTTTGTCTGGTATATTGGTTCACCCTGTATGGTTTGTGTCCTTCACTTTCGTGTTGAGTGGTATGCAATCTTGAATACCTTAAAGACTAATTAAGTAAATATGTTGAAGGCAACACATTTTCAAGGTTAACATATTTTTTTCCTTTAGCAGACTTAAAAAATGGAAAATAAAAAATAATTCTGAAAGTTATTCTGTTATTTTACCAAACTGTAGACCCAAATACAAAAGCAGAATTAAGAAGAAAAATCACCAAGTGTGGCGCATATCGTCCTTTAAATTTTTACTTAAAAATCCTTCAGAAATTAAGCTGTGGATCTTATAGTCCTTCTACCAATTGTGAACCTGATTGCCCTCCACCTTCCTTTCTTTAAAAATCCAAGTTGTAACCCTTTATACTCTTCAAAATGTCGTCCTTTGGGCTCTAAACAATAAGAGTTTGACAAAAACAAAAATCCATAAATGTGACTTATATCGTCCTTCAATATTGTATATTGAAACCATCAGGATTTCGGTCCATATTATTCTCCCTCTTTTATAAATTTCGTGACATCCTTCTCCCTTGTTATATCATCCACCGTTGTATGGAGAATATATTAAGTCCGTTTATAACACCTTAAAATATACATTATATACTCCACAAAGTATATATATTCTTCATCAGCATTAAATTCTTTGTCGATTTAGCGATGTCCGTCTGTGGAAATCACTCTAGCTTCGGAACGAAATGAAGTAGGTTGCAAAAATTTTACTCTCATGTTTATTTGGTCTACAGGACTTTTGATATTGAAAATAGGCAACGGTACCCCCCTATATTCGGTATTTCGATGATGTCAGCAATATTTTTCAACGGAATTGTTTTTAATATTGTATTTGAAGTTCCTAATGGCTAATACAGGCTATGGCAGAAAACTGTCTATGCAGGTCCACGTTTTATTATTGGAAGATCTTAATGGATACTTCAACCTATCTCAGAAAATTGCATATTTAGGTCCAGGTCTTCGTATAGCCCTCATATAATGGTATCTTCCAATATTCGATATTTTGATGATTTAAGCGAGATTATTCACAGTAGTTTTTTAGTATTTGAAGTTCCAAATGGATACTACAAAGTAGCCTATGCAGGTCCAGTTTTTTTTTTTTATTTCCAAATTCATTCCAAATAGTGAAGGATTTTCAAAGTTCGGTCCGGTCTTACTTGCTGCTTTTTAACTTGTTTTGTTTTTTTAATTCCACGATTTGGCTGTTCTTTGTAAATCATATTTACAAGAGTCCTTATGGCTCTTATAACCCCTTAAAATGTCGGCCGTTTGACCTAAAAATATGATATAAATTTAACCGCAAATGTGGCTCATATGATCCTTTAAAATTTAACTTTGAAAAACTTTTTAAAAAAAAAATTCATAAAAAATTCAAGCTTATTGTTCTGATAGTTCTTCCAAATGTCGGCAGTTGGACCTAAAAGTTCTTCCAAATGTCGGCAGTTGGACCTAAAAATATGATAAAAAATGAAAAAATTCAAAAAAAAAATTCAAACTTATTGTTCTGATAGTTCTTTTAAATGGCTCTTATAGTCCCTTAAAATGTCGGCTGTTGGACCAAAAAACATGATATAAATTTAACAGCAAATGTGTCTTATATGGTCCTTTAAAATTGAACTTTTAAAAACGTTCTTAAAAAAATTAAAAAAATTAAAATTGAAAAAATTTCATAAAAAAAATCAAGCTTATTGTTCCGACAGTTCTTTCAAATATTTCTTGAGAAATCCAAGACTATACCAATGATGTATTTCCTCCAAGCTTATAACTCCGGTAGTCCGATAGCTATGATGTTCCTCCCAAATTATTTCTTTAAGATACCACGTTTATATTCCTTCAAAGATTTTCAAAGAAAATATCGTCTAAATAAACTTTTTAAAAATACTAGATTGTAGCTCAGGCAGTCCTTGAAATAATCTCTTTAAAATGTACGATGAAATTGATGATGATGATTGAAATCAACTCCTTTAAAATATGCGATTATGGCCTCAATAGTCCTTGGGAAATTTTTTTTAAATATCACTCGATCGTACCTCCGGTTCTTCTTCAAATAATCTCTTTAAAATACATAATTAAAAATTATATAATTATTGATTACTACGTTGGGCGCCATTTACCTCTTATTTTTAATTTATCTTTTACTTCTAATAATATTGAAGTGGTTAAATCTTTAACTTATCTATCAGACCTTCTTTTGGTGTAGCAGTTAAATGATGGGGGCGATAGTCCTTGACCAAAACCATTATTTGCCAGACGTGATTCATGAGTTGTTGTTCCCTTGGCGCCATTTTGCCATTTTAAGGAGATTTTTGGTGTGACTGTTTTACAGAAATATAATGAGAACGTCGGTTAATGGAGGCACATATTTTTGTTAGTCTAATTTTTTTATAATTTTTATTACTACGTTGGTCGCCATTTCCATCATTTTTTTTTTTTTTTTTTTTTTTGGATAGGTCATTTACTTTTAACAGAGTTGTTTCTAAAGTTGATTACTGGGTTGGGCGCCATTTCCTTCATACCTACTAACTTTCACGCCATTAATAAATCTTTACCCCAGACAAGAAGAGAGCAGATATTTCATTCATACCTTTAATAAATCCTTCCCATCAAATTATATTGTAATGGGAACATTTTTTATTGGTACCTTGGGCGCCAATTCGTTTTCCAATAAAATTAAAGTGGCAATATTTTGCTTTTGATTGCTACGTTGGGCGCCATCCATAATAAATGCCCATATAATGTTGCTAGTCCTTTCGGTTAAAAAATCCTCTATTATAGTTTGAAAAGTCCTCCAAAATTTGTATTTTAAAAATTAAAATTTTGCATCTGATAGTCCCGTCAAATTTTCTATAAAAATCCGCCATTATAGATCTTCCATAAAACTTTAAGAAATCTACGCTATTGGTTCCTTAAACAAATCTAAGATTCTAGTTCAGATATACCTTCAAAAATGTAGCTCCGATAATTATCCTTTCTTTTAAAGTTTTTTAACCATTGATTCTGCCACTGATAAATCCTCAAAAAAATATTTCAAAATCTACGGATATCGCTTTAATAGTATTTTAAGAAATTCTTCTAAAAGCCCACGAATGTAGCTGGGACACATAAATATGTTTTTATAAGATCCACGATAACCAGCAGAAATACTCATTACAACTGTGCTTACCAATCCATTACCTTACTTAGGGAACTTCACACAAAATAAGTATTTATTTTTTGGCCACTAGAAACCGGTTTAAGAGGAGAAAACTTATTAATCGATTTTGGCCACCAAAAGTCATTATATAAGTACTTATTTGTCAAAATTTTGTGGCCAGAAAATAACTGCTTATTTCGTGAGACTTACCCTTGTTTAAATAATTGGTAGGTAACCAGTTCCGTTATGAGCTTTTTGCTGGGTAATTCCACTCAAATATAGAATCTTAAAATTCCATGATTGTGGCTCCAATAATCCTTTTGTCAAATCACGGAAAATTTCTCTGATATTCCTCCTCGAATTCCGAATTCCTGTATTTTTTAACCTTTACCCCAATTTTTTCTCATTTTTCTTTTTTTCTTCTCTTTTTATTTGCAGTTTCACCACCCTGCCTGCTTATCGAAGATATAAGACGCGATGAGAAAACCATTAAGGATTTGGCCAATACCATAACCAATCTAAGTCAACAGCAAAAGAATCGTTGGACCAGCACGGCCGTCAATAATGTCCTCAATTCGCATTTGCATCAGAACAATAACAACAACAATAATAATAACAACAAATTGGATGATAAAAATTCACGAGATGAACCCGATTTCTATAGGCCAACAACGATCAGTAACAGCAACAAACAATCCGGTGGCTCAGCTACAACTGCTGGCAGTGGTTGTAGTATTGGTGGCGATACAGCAAATCATTTGCGACCAAAATCGTTACCATTGGCTGCCAATTCTACACCCGCCATTGTATCGGCAATTGTTAAGAAAATACCACCAGTAATGGCAACAACAACGGCAAGCAACAAATCTAGTCTACGCTATCATCAACATCATCAGCAACAACAGCAGCAGCAGCAGCAAACCTACCAAAGCCGCAAACAACACAAACAGGCCTTGGAACGAGGTGATCCCGATGGTGGCTGCAATTTAGATGATCTTTCATCCAACTATTTGTCGAAAACAGTAGAATTGCGTGTGAATCCGGCAGTGCCGCCATCCCAGGCCCATGGATCTTCTTCAGCTGCCTCAGCAGCGGCGGCGGCAGCAGCAGCCACGAATACAACACCCAACAACACACCCTCAGCATTGACCGAATCACTGAACGCCAAGAAAGGTTGGCTAATGAAACAAGATAATCGTACCGGTGACTGGACCAAGCATTGGTTCACATTGAGTGGTGCTGCTTTGTTCTATTATCGTGATCCTGTTTCGGAGGAGCGTGGTGTCTTAGATGGTGTACTGGATGTTAATAGTCTTACAAATGTGGCCGAAGTCAATGCCAATAGAAATTATGCTTTCCAGTTAACAACATGGGATAAGCGGCGCCTAATATTGGCTAGTCTCTCACCAAATTCTCGCAATAGCTGGATTGCAATTCTAAGAAATGCTGCAGGCTTACCCGGCGGCAATGGTATGGCATCCAGCAATGCCAGCACCAGTGTAACAAGCTCTCCCATACAGAGCGGCATGGGCATGAAACATTCGAGTAGTGGTGTACAGACGTTGGCGCCCAACGATAAAGCCTCAACAATAGCAGCAGCCGCAGCAACAGCCACAACAACTGAGCTGATTATCAAAGATAATACCAGTGATGATATGAAAAGTGAAATTGAAAAAGATTTTATCAAGGCCCAGCGGATAATGCAAAAATATTCCGGCGAGTCAAATAGCAGACTAAAGAAGCTAACCAACGAAACTAGTCCCAAGGTGATCATCACCAATGTCAGTAGTAGTTCATCCAAGTCGTCAACCCAAATTAGTCCACCAACTCCGCTAACACCAAAGACTGCTATGCATTTTTCTTCGGATGAAGAGTATCGTACCGCTTCGGAGGGTGGTAGGCGGGATAGTATTGGTGATTGGGGCTCACCGCTGTCACCTTCCCCGCCCAGCACCCTAAATATGATGAGAGCCAAAGATAGAATGCGTTCACGCACCACAACACCCTGTCCACGCATGCATAAGCGTAGCCGTTCATCTCCTCCCTCCTCTAGGCGTAGCACTGTTGACAGTGTGGGCTCAGATGATTTACCCGTCATCCACACCGTACATGAGGAAATCAATTTAAATGTGGACAAGGAATTGCAGTTCCGTCTCAGTGTTGTGGAGAAGGAACGCGATCTATTACGCGATGAAGCCAAAGAACGTGAGGCTCGCATGTCCGAGCTACTCAACACCTTAGAGCGTACCGAGCAAGAGTTAAATCAACGCATACAGGAAATGGAAGAGGTACGTGAATGTTTGACCACCCAGCTGGAGGATGCCAAGAGAAATGCCTCTGAAATCATTGAAAGACTAACCGATGAATTGGATGAAGGTCAAAGGAAAATCAAAGATCTCGAAGATCGCTTGGCCCGAGGCATTGAAGAAAACGAGAATCTTTACAAGAGACTCCGAGAAATGGAGAGCTGTAGTCCGGCAAGTTTCATCAACCTGCAAAGGAGCAAAATGAAACGCATGGACTCGTTGAGTGACCTAACCCACATTAATGACATTGATCCATATGGCTTGGAGCGAGATTCCCTGGCCGAAGAATACAGTGAGTTGAAGGGACGCTTTGAGAAGGCTGTCAATGAAATTCGGGCCATGAAACGGGAGCTGAAAGAATCCCAGAATCAATACGATTCTCTGGAGATTTCCTATGCTTCACTCAAACAGGATTTGGAACGCAAAGAAATCGAAGATCAGTCTCAGCTACAAATGATGGCTGATCGTATACAGGATCTTACACTGAAATACAGCTCATCGGAGAGACAAGTGCGAACGTTGAAACAAAAATTAGCCAAGTCCGAACGTCGAAGATCTTTGTCCCTGAAGGGCAAAGAACAGCTAACCGTTAGCAAAGAATTGGAAATAAAGTTAAATGATTTGGAAACCAAAATGGATGAATTGGAAAAGAGTCATCATTTGGATGTAAAACAACCGATCATGGAGAGTGCTCCCGCAGTGAGGCTGGCTGGAAAGAAATCATCTCGACGCCGTTCACTGGAATCTTCGGCCTCAGATTCTTTGCAATTTTTGGTGCGGGTCAACGATTTGGAAAAACGTTGTGAGGGAGTTAATAGCTCACGCAGTTCCTCGTGTACCCCCACACCGAATTCCAATACACCCACACTTGATTCGCCACCATCACGATCCTCACCGGCTGGCAGTAATCTGCGCTTATCCGAACATTTACTCGAACGTCTAAGGTGTTTGGAAAGTGTCTTGGTGTCGAGCAAAGATCGCCTGGAACAGGGTCTAAGTCAGTTACAAAATTTACGTTCCTCCCGTAATCGTCGTTCCGTTTCACCCATTACCGATCGCAAAGACTCCTATCGTTTTGTCGAACGATGCCTGCAGGAAGTTGTAAAACTTATCCGAGAATCAACCGAGACTTGTGTGCTGCAGGGATCACAGACAGATGTGGCCCAGCCTTCCGTTTACATGTTACCCGATTCTAGTCCCGTCAAGAAAGCTTTAACCCAATTGGAATCCCAATTGCGCTCCAAACTGGCCGAGCTGTTGAAACAACGGCGCATGCTCAGAGAACGCAATGAACTGACTAAGCGCAAAGATTTGGAGCTGCTGGCGGAACGTATTGCCTTTGAAAGTGTTTGCTTTGGTAAGCTCAGAGACTCTGTAGAGCGGGCGGAAAATCCGGAATTGTTCAGTGAACGCCAGACCCGGGCCGAAGTGGCGGAAACGTCGCATTTAATGTCCTTGCTCAAAGCCAAGCTGCAAGGCAAGTGCACGGTGAAAACCAGTGGCAGTTTGGATATTCTGGCTGGCGTTTTAGCTCGCCGATTACTGCTCTCCAGCTATCAGAAAACCCATGGCTCGGCGGCTCCACAAAATGTGAAATTATCCATGGAACCGGTAGATCAAAACATGCTGGATGATTTAATGCGCCAGCAGAGTGAAATCAATGTCATTGCCAAGCGTTACAAGAACAATGCCATGGAAAATTTGGCCACTAGTCTGGCGGCGGAAACCCTAAGCTACATATCAACCAATGACCTGGTACAAGGAGCTGTCCAAGAGGCTTGGCGCCAGGCCCAGGAAACCGTCAATGCCGAATTGGTGCAATCGGAAATCGCCCACATTATGATGCGCAATGCCGAACGTCTGGAAAATTCTGTGGCGCCATCTTTTGGCTACACCCTAACATCCGAGGAACGTTTGTCGTTTGAAAAGTTCGCCGATGCTGTACATGATGTTCTACGCAAGGAAATGGAACTGGCTGTTACCCAGCTGACCCAATGCTATGAGGAGACCATGCAGCAGATGAAACGCGGTCAATGGCGCATGCATTTGCAGCACGAACACAAGGCCAGCGAAGGACGTCAACTGCTCTCCGAATTCGCCGATATTGTGGCCCACAAAGCATTAATTGATGCCCGCATTGATGTCTTACGCGGTGAATATGCCTCACAATCTCAATCCATCTCCAAGCTAGACGAAGAAAAAGAAGTCAAAAAGCTCGGTATTACGGCCTTGCAAAAGTATGAAAATCTTTTCGAAGAGCTATCTACCGATCTGCAAATCAACAATCCCGATGACATTCTACTCGAAGCCGATTTTGAATTCATGTACAAACAGCATGCTGTCGATTTTCTCAGCGATCGCCAAGTCCTCTGTGACATTTCAACCTTCCTCAGTCAACTCGAAGACTCACTAATTGCCCTGCAGTGTGAAGCCACCACCTCCGCCAATGAGCACATACCACGTACGGAAATCTCCATCGAATCCTTACAAGATGTTTGTCACAAATGCTGTGAGCTACGCAAACGAGCCGATCAGCTTCTACAAGAAGTTCATCGCAAATTAAATGATTCGTGTCAGCATTGCCTGCAGGTGCGCGAAAAACTGCACAGTCTCAAGGAACAACATGAAAGTGAAATTCTCCGGCTGCAACAGTCACACGCCAAAGATTTATCTGCCCTCATGCAGCAAGTCGAACATCAACGTTCGTCCATACGCTGCCTGGAGGCCGAAAAGAATGCCATTAACCAAGATTTAAATAAAAGCGAAGAGTTAATGGAGGAGCGTGAACGTGAACTGAAGTCGGTAACACAGCTGTTGCATACCAAAGAGGATGCCTTGCAAGCCACCCAAGGTGAACAGCGTGAATTATTGAAACGCCTCGAAGCGGAAGAAGAAAAAGTGCGTTCCTATCAGGAGGAGAGCGATGCACTGACAATGAAGTGTGCCCGCCAAGACGACGAGTATGGTATGCTGTTGCAGGAACGCGACTATTTGCAGGCGGAATTAACCAAAGAACAGGATCGCAACAAGCGACTGGAGAAGCGCGTGGAATTGCTGGAAATGGAACATGGCAAACAAATGGAATGTCTGCAGCAGGCCTATCGTGATCAAATGCTAACGCATTGTCCAGATTTTTCGAATGCCATCGACGAGGAGAGTTTCCGTCAGCGTTATCAGAGTGAAATCGAACAGTTGAGGGTAAGTTTTTTTTATGAATTTCAGTTATTTGGAAAATAAATCTCAGTTGTGGAATAAAAATTAAGAGAATGCCCACACATACGTATACCATGCATATACATATAAATGTATCTCAATTTTGGAAGACCCTTAGAAATTGTATTTTTTTTTTCGATTTTTTTGTTGGGCACCACTTCCTTAACGGCATAAATAAATACTTGCTCACCAGACCAATAGAGACAGATATTTTGTAGTGTAACAAATTTTATTTGATACGTTGGGCGCCATTTCGATCATGACATGAGCAAATTCTATACTTTTAAAATTCGATTATAAATAACTTTTTGGAGACAGATATATAGTAGTCTAGCATTCATTGAATGCCACGTTAAGCGCCATTTCGTTCCTAACTAGAGTAAATCCTTTACTTCTGATAATATTGCAGTATCGACATTTCATTTATGATTGCTTCGTTGGGCGCCATTTATTTCAATCTTTCAACACAAGGCAAAAAGAGGCAAATATTAGGTAGTCTAACATATTTTGAGTGTTTCGTTGGCCGCCATTTCGTTCATACCTTGAGTAAATCATTTACTTCTGATAATATTGAAGTGAGATTTTTTTGTTTTTTGAATGCTTTGTTGGGCGCCATTTCGTTCATACCTTGAGTAAATCACTGGTTGAATTTATGATTTATATTTGCTTCCTTAGGCGCCACTTTCCTTCACGCCATGACAAATCTTTCTACACAAGACAAATACAGGCAGATATTTGATAGTCTATCATTTTTGAAGGGTACGTTGGGCTCCATTTCGTTCCTTTATTGAAGTGAGATCATATTATTTTTTGATTGCTTCGTTCATTCATACTTAGAAATCCTTTAGTTCTAATTATATTGCATTGGAGACATTTTATTTCCGATTGCTCCGTTGGGCGCCACTTTTTTCACACCACAAAGAAATCAAGACCAGTAGAGACTGATTTTTCTTAGTGTATTATTTTTTGATTGAGGTAGAGGTAGATTTTTGGTAGTGTAACATTTTTTAATTGGTTTCGCGCTATGCCGTTATTTGGAAGTGGGAACATTTTATTTATGATTGCTTCGAAAGATACCATTAACAAATCTTTCGACACAAGACAAATAGAGGTAAACATTTTTATACCCTCCACCATACTAACTGTAACTCCTCAAAATACTCATGTCAGACCCAACAAAGTATATATATTCTTGATCAGCGTAAAATTCTGAGCCATGTCCGTCTCTCTGTCTGTGTGTCTGTCCGTCTGTCTGTTGTAATCACGCTATCTTTCGAACGAATTGTGATAGAAAGCTAAAATTTTGCATACATGTATATTTTGCCAGTAGGCAGGCTAAGTTCGTAAATGGGCCAAGTAGGTCCACGTTTTCATACAGCCCCCATATAACGGTACCTCCCGATATTCGGTATTTTGTTGATTTTAGCGACATTATTTGCCGGAAATGTTTCAAATTTAGCATTTGATGTTCGAAATTCATACTACAGCCTGAGACAGAAAATTGTCTGTGCAAGTCTACGTCTTCGTATAGCCCCCATATAACGGTGCCTCACAATATTCGGTATTTTCATGATTTTAGCGTCATTATTCACTGTAGTAGTTTCAAATTATGTATTTAGAGTTCGTAACGAGAACTACAGTCTGTGACAGAAAATTGCTTGTGAAGGTCCAGGTCTTCGTATAGGCCCCATATATCAGTACCTCCTTATATTCCGTATTTTGACGATTTTAGGTACAATACTCACCGAAATTGTTTGAGATGTCATATTTGAAGTTCGTAATGGAAGCTACAGTCTGTGACAGAAAATTGTCTGTGCAGGTCCAGGTCTTCGTATAGCTTCTATATAACGGTACCACTCTATGTACGGTATTTTGATGATTTTGGCTACATTATTTACCCTTTATTTCAAGTTTCGAATTTGAATATGGTAATGGCTTATACAGATCCTAATATAACAGCTATATTCGGAATTTTTTAAATGTTAACAGAATTGTTGACGAATGTTGTTTTTCGCAAATTTTCAAATTCGTTCTAAATGGTGGAGGGTATTCAAAGTTCGGCCCGGCCGAACTTACTGCTTTTTTACTTGTCTGTGCAGATCCACGTCTTCGTATAGCCCCCATATTACGCTACCTCCCTATATTCGGTATTTTGATGATTTTAGCGACATTATTCACCGGAATTGTTTCAAATTTAGCACTTGAAGTTCGAGATGGATACTACAGCCTGAGACAGAAAATTGTCTATGCAGGTCCACGTCTTCGTATAGCCCCCATATAACTGTACCTCCCAATATTCGGTATTTTCATGATTTTAGCGTCATTATCCACCGTAGTAGTTTCAAATTACGTATTTAGAGTTTGTAATGGGAACTACAGTCTGTGACAGAAAATTATCTGTACAGGTCCAGGTCTTCGTATACGTCCCATATATCAGTACCTCGTTATATTCGGTATTTTGACGATTTTAGGTACAATACTCACCGAAATTGTTTGAGACATCGTATTTGAAGTTCGTAATGGAAGCTACAGCCTGTGACAGAAAAATGTCTGTGCAGGTCCACGTCTTCGTATAGCCCCCATATAACGGTACTTCCCTATGTACGGTATTTTGATGATTTTGGTTACATTATTTACCCTTTATTTCAAGTTTCGAATTTGAATATGGTAATGGCTTGTGACAAACAATGCCTATGTAGGTGCACGTCGTACAGGCCCTAATATAACAGCTATATTCGGTATTTTTAAAATGTTAACAGAATTTTTGGCGAATGTTATCTTTTTCGAAAATTTTCAAATTCGTTCTAAATGTTGGAGGGTATTCAAAGCTCAGCCCGGCCGAACTTACTGCTTTTTTACTTGTTTAGTCTTACATTTTTTTATTGATACGTTGGGCGCCATTTCCTAACTTGAGTGAATCCTTTACTTCTAATAATATTGTAATGGGAATATTTTATTTCTTGACTGATACGTGGGTCGTGATTTCGTTCCTAACTTGAATTACTCTTTACCTCTAATTATATTGCAGTGGCGATATTTTTTCTGATTACTGCGTCCTTCTAATAATATTAAAATGGGAATATATTATGTTTTGGTTGATCCAATGGGCGCCATTTTTTAGACGCCATGAATAAATCTTTTTGGAAAAGACAAAAGGCAGATATTTTTAGAGATTAACATTTTTTGATTGGTATGTTGGGCGCCATTTCGTCCATGCCTTGTATAAATCCCTTACTTCTAATAAAGTAATAAGACAAACCATTATTTTTTGCAACTTTCAGTACTTTTTCAATATTTTCCATAAACATTTGAATTAAATTTCAGGGGTACCTCTTATTAAAAGTCAGAGCTATGGTTTTCATACAAATAACACACAGGATGTTTGGGTATGTGTACTGAAAATGCTAGGAAAAGTTTTAAAATTTCTTACAAGGCACATTCTTTGCACCCCGGAAGGGCAATTGCTTACATATTAGGTTAAAATTTCGGAAAATTTATATAAAGTAGTATAATAGATAAGAGTGCATTGGTGTTTTCGGACTGTTACATGTACGTGTAAATAAGAGGTTAATTACTGCCAATTTTCAAAATCGTTTTTTTTTTTTTAATTTAACGTTGGGCGCCATGTTGACCCCTTAAAATAAAGAAGAGCCACTGTATCACAATCTTCATCACCTTGACCAAAAAAAAAAAAAAAAAAACATGGCATACCAATGCTGGCCATAATTTGTGAATTATTTTCCAAAAACATGACATTTAACACATTCCATGAATTTGATACACTCATTATTTATAAATCATATTCATTGGATATTTTTTTCTCCTGCCTCTGTTCTTATTCCTCTTTGCTGTTTTTTTTTTTTCTTCCAGACACTCTGTGAAAAGGGTTTGTCAGCCATGGAATCGTCACATCGACGTACTATTAATGATTTAGAAGAGAAGCATAAACAAGAAATTGAACGTTTGCTAATCGAAAAGGAAACAGCCTTGGCCGAAGAAACTCAGGTAAGATTACATTTATGAATACGGCAGTGGTTGTGGTGCCATCGTCTGTCCACCCGCCGCTTACATACATATGTATGTAAAGCTAAACAATATTGTCCCCATTCGTTAAGGATGGGGGAGGGCAACACAAAAAGCGAAGTTATAATTTGTGATCATCATAGGAGAGGAGAGCAACAAATGAAATCCAAATGGACGAACCAAAGAACGAACAGTTGCTGGCTGGCTGGTTGGTTGGCTGGCTCGACAAACATGTATCCATGCCTCATATGAGGCATAAGTATAACAACCATGTCATATATAATTATGGGACTGAAAATCATCTACTCAGACACTGTTGTTTTCATTTGGCAACTTCTTATTTTCATCTACGTTACTTGCCTTGTTGCCGCATTAAAGATTTTCGAAGGAAAGAATTATTTTTGGACAGACACACTGCTAGGCACCAGCAGCTAGAATTGAAACCTTGATTTTTTTCTCTTGCAGTTTCTTTTTGCAGCTCTGCTTCCTAGATGTATGTTATGTCTTATATCTTGTCGTTTTTTTCTTTTTCTTTATTTTCACCTCTAGGCAACATTAGCTGCTCTTGATGCAATGCGTAAGGCACACCAAAGTGAGGTACAACGTGAAGTTGCGCGCTTTAAACAGGAATTTCTTAAGCAGTTCCAACAAAAAGGCGAACGTACCATGGATTCTACCAAGGCGAAGGAGTATGTAGCGTTATTATTATGTTCCATGTGTATTTATTTGTTGTTTTTTTCCTTTATTTTTGTACTTACTTACTCAAACCTTAAGTTATCATACACTCACTCAACTCGCTACTAACCATCATGCATACCGAAAACACACTCATACTCACATGCATAGCATACCATAGTCCCAGCTAAGTCAAAAACAAGAAGAACATACAACGTAGCTTAAGTTATTTTTCCGTAATTCCTTGGCGTCTGATTTATTCCACCCCAATATGCTCTCCAAAAGAAACTGTGGTGTCCCTAAGACAACAGTGCTGTGCCGCATGCATTGTATGAGCCATTTTATGATAAATGGGAAAAATGTGAATTATACTTTGAAATTTGAATAATTTTGGTATAAATCCTAACTAATTTTTGTATCAAAAATCTAACTTTGTTCATCTGACTTCAAACATGTTTTATTTTACGTTGGGCGCCATTACTTAAATTTATTCTAAATAAAATTATTTTTTAATATTTAGAGTCATTAGTCTCGACCCACCACATTTGATAATGTTTCGTTATTTTATTATTGCCAGGACTTTATATGCAGCTTAATTTGGCGTTGGGCGCCATTTTGCTAATAATTTGAAGTCCGAACCATCTATTTTTCTTTCTACGTCGGGCGCCATCTCGCCTATACCACGAAAATTCCGTATTTTTAGAACAGAGAGAATAAATGTTCCATTTGACGCCAGATATAATCTGCAATAATCTTATGATATGATATGCCCTTTAAGTTGGAACATTTTATTTTCATTGCTGCGTTGGAAGCCATTTCGTTCACACCATGAATAATCTTTGGATAAAAGACAAACAGAGACAGATATGTGGTAGTCCAACAGATTTTGATTGATACGTTGGGCGCCATTTCGTTAATACCTTAAATAAATTCTTTACCTCTAATTAAATTAAGGTGGGAATTTTTTTTTTTTTTTTTTTTGTTACGTTGGGCGCCATTTCGTTCTTACCTTAAATATAACCTTTATTTTTAAATATATACAAGTTAGAAAATTTTATTATTAATTACTTGGTTGGGCGCTATTTGGTGACGTCATGAATAAATCTTTGCAGACAAGACAATAAGAGGAAGATATTCTAACATTCTTTGTGAGCTACTTTGGGCGCCATTTCGAATTCAGAATTTTCTATTTTTATTTTTATTTCCACATCAGGTGCCGTTTTGCTCATAACATGAACAAACCGTACTCTGAGAACACAGAGCCAAAATGTCCCAATTGACGTCAGACCTAATTCTTCATATAATAATATCCTTTAATTTTGTCAATTGTCGAGCCATCAACCTACTCTTGTCATAAATTTGACAGAATTCAACAAAAATGGAGTGTTGAGCCATATTCATTTGCCAAGTTTTATATATTTCATTTTAATGGACATAACATCCACTGAACATAATTTAAAGCCAATGTGTCGAAAATAATTAATCAATTTAATTATGTGCCAATTTTTTGTAAAATGGACCTTAGTTTCACTCCTGCATTTATAAACTATTAGACAGGAAGACTCACAACGCATAATAGTATATATGTCCTGAAACGGATTAGACTGAGGCCACAATATTCCTACTCTGCCCACTTCGAATAAATCAATTCATGTATTAACATTGGGCGCCATTTTAAACCAGTTCAACTAAAATTGTTCATGTACAATTTATTGATTTGTTTAAGAACATTTTAACATAAATTCGATGTCACTGTGCCAATAACAGTTTGTTAATTTAAATACTAAAATAAAGTAAATTTTGCCAGCCACAATTGCCTATGTTGGGCGCCACTTTTCCCTAATGTTTGTATGACCTATGAAACATAAAGATTCACTTCATATGTCCTAAAACGAATAAGTCTGAGACTGCACTACATTTTATCTGGCCAATACTTGTACATTCTTTCGCTTTACAAGAACACATAAAAAATCCTTCTTTATACAAGCCTTTGTTTTAAATTGTTTATGCGTTTGAATTGTACTTAAATTCATGGCTTGGTCTATAATTTGAAAGCTATAGTCTAGACTGGTCTTCAATATCAACTACATATCATAACGGCCTCATTTAGAATTAAACGAAGGTGCATGCAATATGGCGCCCAACGTAGGGCTCTCATTTGAGTTACAATTCTGAATAGTTCTGTTCATTTTCTTTTCTAGTGCAAATCAACCAATTGCGTTCTGCATTTAAATGATGAGCTAAAATTTTCAATGGAGAAAAAACTATTCTTAATTGCTTGTAAAATGTAAGGCCTACGTTGGGCGCCATACATCTGGAGTGATAAGTGATTAAAGTTTCTATAGCAGGAGAAACTGCAAACCTTTTTGAATTACAAGAAACTGACTTTGTCTAAAATGAAAGTTCCAGGTTGTGCGTCATACATCAGGAGTATTAAGCGTTTAAAAAACTCTATATTAGGAGTCCTTGAAAACCTGTTTCATTTAAATTACAAGACGCTGACTCAAAGAAATTGTTATATTAACTATACATACTATGAAGGTCCCATATTGGCCGCCGTATAAATTTCAGTAATTAATTGAATATCTCTTATTATTTCAGTAATTAATTAAATATCTCTTTTTTTGCAATAAAAAAAATCTAACTTTGTCTTAAATGAGAGCCACACGTTGGGCGCCGTTGGGAGTATTACGTGATTTGAAATGTCTATAGTAGGAGACCTTGGAAACCTGACGTATGTCATGATCTTAATAAAATATTCCTCTTTGAAATGCGGGAAGCTGACTTTGTCTCATATTCGAGCCCCGCGTTAAGCGCCATTCATTTGGGGTGATAGATGGTTTTAAATTCTTGTATTAAAAGACCCTAAATACTTGATATCAGTTTTTGCCCTTAATGTTAAATGAGAGGTGATTTCGCGCCCAACAATGTTCAAATAACTTGTTTTCCTAGTGAAGACGTTGTTATCGATATTTCTGCCTCATCCAAAAAACAAAAAAAAAACCTTTGAAGTTAAAAATTAATTTAAAAATTGGGTGGGATGTTGTAAACCTTATATCTGTTCCGAATCCATTTAGAATAAGAAATTTGCTTCTTTGCATTGTTAGAAAAATCAGTGTTGTCTACATAAAAATGGCGCCCAGCGTTATACTTGAATGTTACACATTTGTGATAATATGCTTTCCTAGTGCTTTTGCTGACTCAAAGAATTGTTACCTTAGCACGGATTTTAATACATTTTTATACCCTCCACCATAGTATGGAGGGTATATTAAGTTTGTTATTCCGTTGTAACAGCTCGAAATATACATTCTAGACCCTACAAAGTATATATATATTGTTGATCCGCATAAAATTCTATGTCGATGTGAAAATCTCTCTAGCTCCCAGATTAATAAAATAAAAGTAGATTAAAAAAATTTTACTCAAATGTATATTATGTCTTCAGGACTTTTGGTATTGAAAATGGGCCATGTAGGTCCCTCATGACACCTACCTATTTTGTTGATTTAAGCGATATTATTCACCGGAATTGTTTCAAATTTTGGTATTTGATATTCGTAATGGATGCTACAGCATGAAACAGGAGATTGTCTGTGCAGGTCCACGTCATCATATAGCCCTCATATAACGCTACCTCCCGATATTCGGTATTTTTGATGATTTTAGCTACATCATTCAACGGAATTGTTCCAAACTTAGGATTTAAAGTTCGTGGTTGATACTACAGCCTGGACAGGTCCACGTCTTCGTATAGCCCCCATTATAAGGGTAACTACCGATTTTCGGTATTTTGATGATTTTAGCGACATTATTCACCGGAATTGTTTCAAATTTGGTATTTGAAGTTCTATATAAAACGTTTATAATTTTCGTGCGGGAAAATGGCACCCAACGTGGGGAATTTGAGTTTTTTCCCTGGTAACAATTTTTCCATCCTTATTTTGACTTATAATTTCCCAATGGATAAATAGTTGAATTATAGTTTAATAACGCAATAGAACTATATCAAATGAACCTAACGGAATTTAATTATCTTAAAGATTTTGCATCCATTCAGCATGAAATGGCTCACATTCGCACAAGTCACGGAGCCTACCACCACCCTAATTTTCTTTTCTTTATTATGTGTAAAATTTACAATAACTACAGAAACAACAAAAATGCACACACACACACACACACAAATGATTTATAACTAATACATTAAATAATATTCTCCTTTTTTACTGTTCTTATTCTGATGACTTTTTTTGTTCTTTTTTTCTCCATTTTTTTTTCTTTTTTATTTCATGTCCTCTTTGCATGCATGCATGTATGTACATAATTACAGGGAAGAATTGGAGGAATTGCGTCAGGAAATTCTATCATTCTCCGAAAAGTATTCCACCAAATGTGTTGAAAATGCTGCATTGGAAGAGAAATTACGTGCTGCCAATCAAAAGCTGAAACATTACCAACAAATGCAACAATTGGAATTAAGGTAATCATCAGTTGTTTTACATAAGCTCAACGAATGACGAATGCCAAGGCAGGCAGCCAAGACAAGTTGAAGGCAAACTCCATAAGCAAGAGAAAAAGGGCTACGCCAGGACTATAATCAAGCATTGACGAAAGTATTCTGCTGTGGCCCATTTACCTGGCTGGCTGGCTGGCTGGCATGATTACATGGAGTTCAATATGACTTTTTCGCTTTGGAATTACAATTGTAGTGCTACACACACCTTACTTAAAACGCGCTCATTCAGCATTGCATCGGCATTGCCACAATGTAATATTTATTTAGAATTCCCAGCGAAGAACAAATCGTGCCTACATGTAATTATGAGATGTATGCTGGATATGAAACTCATAAAAATGCAATACAGTCCAACATTGTCTCTGCCTGTTTTGTACGGGGTAATATCATTGAAATTATTGGGTATGATGCTGCCGCTGCTTCTTCTTCTTGGGATGAGGAGATGAGGCCAACCCTCATGTTTACTATTCAGAATACAATAATTGTGCGTTGAAAAATACATTGTGTGGGGGGAATGAGCATTTGCATATTTCCTGTAATTTTCTCAGAAATTTTATGTAATGAAGTCTACTCCTACTCAAGTGTTTGCTTATTGTCCCAGAAATTGAGTTACAATGCAGAATATCTAAAAAATTTAATTTATGTTTTTTTTGGCGCCCAATGTTGGGCAGTCACTTTTTTACCCTCCACCTTAGTATGGAGGGTATATTAAGTTTGCCATTCCGTTTTTAATTGAATTTCAATGCAGAATATCTAAAAAAAAAATAATTTATGATTTTTTGGCGCCCAATGAGGGGCAGTCATTTTTATACCCACTACCATAGCATGAAGGGTATATTCAGATTCTCATTCCGTTTTTAAAACCTCGAAATATACCTTTTAGACCCCGTAATGTATATATATTGCTGATGAGCATAAAATTCTATGTCGATTTAGCAATGTCCTTCTGTCCTTCCGTCCGTCTGTGAAAATCACTCTAGATTCCGACCGAAATGAATTAGGTTGAAAAAAATTACTCAAATGTATATTATGTCTGCAAGAATTTTGGTATTTGAAATGGTCCACGTTTTAGTATAGCCCCCATATAACGGTACCTCCCCATATTCGGTATTTTGATGAGTTTTGCGACATTATTCACCGGAATTGTTTCAAATTTGGTATTTGAAGTTAGTAATGGATACTACAGTTTATGACAGAAAATTGTCTATGCAGATCTACCTCTTCCTATAGCCTCCATGTAACGGTGCCTCCCTAGTTTCGGTATTTTGGTTATTTAAGCGACATTATTCACCGGAATTGTTTCAAATTTGGTATTTGAAGTTCGTAATGGACACTACAGCCTAAGACAGAAAATTGTCTATGAAGGTCTACGTCATCGTATAGCCCTCATATAAAAGTACCTCCCGATATTCGGTATTTTGATGACTTTAGCTACATTATTCACCTATTTTTTGTCAAGTTTTGCTTTTGAATATTGTAATGGATTATGACAAAAGATGCCTACATAGATCCACGTCGTCGAATAGATCCTAATATAACGGCTACATCCGACAATTTTAAGATTTTAACAGAACTTTTAAGGGATTTTTTTTGACAATTTCCAAATTCGTTCCAAATGGTGGAAGGTATTCGGTCCGGCCGAACTTACAGCTTTTTTACTTGTTTTAGTTTTTATAAATTTCAAAGAAATCTCATCAATCCCACTTAAATAGTGAATTGTATTAGTATTGCCTTAAAATATAACAGTTTCATAATACCAAAAACTAGCTCTTATGAATAATATGGCGCCCAACGTGGGACTATTAGTCATATTTACAACTCTGCAGGGAAATGTTTGCTACAATCTGTTCATTTGTTATGATGGTATTAAAATGCCACAATTCTTTTCATTTTTAGTAGAGTAGATCCGTTAAAACATCTGAAATAGCGAATGACCTAGGTGTCTATTGTCCCGAAAATTGCGTAACAATGCTGTAAAACTGAAGAACTTAATTCATAATATCCTTGACGCCCAAAAAAGCCAGCCATTTTTTATTTTTATGAATTTCGATGAAATTGAGTAATCCAGTATTCAATTATAAGGGTATTACCTTAAAAATGAAGAACGGTATAAGAAATCCTAATGCTGGCTTTTATGAATAACGTGGCACCCCCACCTTGGGTGCAATTATATTTACAACTCTACAAAAACCACAATATTTTTCATTTTTTTCCAAAAGTAGAGAAAGACAAAGTGCATTTATAACTCTAATATTTATTTTTTTATATATATAATAATACAAAATTTGTGATATATATTCTCATATTCCAGAAACAAACAATTCCGTGCCCATTTGGCATCTGATGATCCAACCAAAGATATGCAATATGTTCAAGGTTTATCGAATCCCAAAGATGGTGATGATGACGATGATGAAAATGGAGCTGTGTGTCAAGACAGTGAGGTGGGTATGAATAAAGCATTGAATTGCAATAACAACAAATCGAACAAACAAAGATAAAACCAAGAACTCAATTTGTAACTAATCAACAATGAAACGAAACGTTCTAACCTATTGCATGATAATGACATGTATGTCTGGCAAATATTCTAAAATAGAAACAAAAAATTATACCCCTGTAATAGAATTATTAATATCTGTGTTGGGATGTACCAAAATCTCTCAAACTCTTTTAATAGAGATGACGTCATACTTTTTTAAAGGACTATCACTAGCTAATATTTTGACTCAAATTTTAATTTATCTACAGTTTTTAGTTGGACAGATTCCAAAAGCTTAAACAAAAAAAAATATGGAACTCATTATTATATGTCTTAAAGAAATTTTAGGTCTCTTTATTTCGAATTTTGCTGGGAAAGTGAAATTTTTAGCGATATAAATATTGAAAATGGCGCCCAACGTGAGAGGTGTTTTTCTCTTGTCTCTATGATGCCCTCGTCTGCATCTGAAAGTATCTAAAAGGTGTTTATAAGTTAAAGGGCAAGAATATCGTCACATTCCCCAGTAGTCATACACATTAGCCAAATCATGGATTTTCTAACCTGAGTCAGTATAAAGGATGATGCTTATAAAGACTAGTGTAACCAGTAAGGAAGTCAAGGGTCTCCTCTTAAATTTGTTGAATGTTATACAGAAACATGGCGCCCAACGTCGGTATGGTGTTTTTATACCCTCCACCATATAATGGAGGGTATATTAATTTTGTCATTCCGTTTGTAACTCCTCGAAATACTCATGTCAGACCCAACAATGTATATATATTCTTGATCAGCGTAAAATTCTAAGACGATTTAGCCATGTCCGTCTGTCTGTCTGTGTGTCTGTTTGTATGTTGTAATCACGCTATCTTTCGAACAAATTGAGGTAGAAGGCTGACATTTTGCACACATGGTTATTTTGCCAGTAGGCAGGTTAAGTTCGTAAATGGGCTATGTAGTTCCAAGTTATCATATAGCCCCCATATAACGGTACCTCCCGATATTCGGTATTTTGATGATTTTAGCGACATTATTCACCGGAATTTTATTGTTTGGTATTTGAAGTTCGAAATGGATAATACAGCCTAAGGCAGAAAATTATCTGTCCCGGTCTACGTCTTCGTATCGACCCCATATACCGTAAACCCCGATATTCTGTATTTTGATGATTTTAGCGACATTATTTACCAGGATTGTTTCAAATTTCGCATGTGAAGTTGGTAATGGATACCTTAGCCCATGCCAGAAAATTGTCTGCTACATTATAAACAGATTTTTGTTCAAGTTTCGCATTTAAATATTGTAATAACTTATGACAAAAGTTGCCTATGCCGGGGTGCCGTCGTATAGACACCCTGGAAATCGTAAGGATGATTTTAAGTTTCGGACCAGGCGAGAGTATTGTCGACATACACATTATTTAGAGCAAGCCTCCTCTAAGCTGGGTTAGTACAAACCTGGTTCAGGAAAAATTTGCGCTCCTCACACCTGTAATTTTTCAAATTGACCTCACATTTGCTGCACAATATACCTCTGGTAAGTGCGCATAAAGGTCAATATAACTAGTAAGGGTGCCAAGAGTCTCCCTCTCTCATATCGCGCCCATGCGCATACATGACAATGTCACCAGTAAGGATGTAAAGGGTCTCCCTCATATGGCGCCCAACGACTGCAACGTATTATTTTACTTCAAACCTTCAACTGTATCAGAAAAGCTAGTGGGTGTTCTTATGTTTGACAGTATAAGTTCTGTGTTGGATGAAAATATCGTCACATTTTCCACTGGATATACATATTAGCCAGTCTAGGTGTCTGATTCAGTAAAATTCGATTTAAGGGATTCTGTTCTTCCGATATTTATTTCAGGTTTGCTGTACAATATACCTCAGGTTGATACCTATGCAGGTCAATGTGACAGCTAAGGATACCAGGGATTTTCCCCTAGTACGTTTCCTATTAATATATCTCCTTTATTTTCTAACGGCCAGTGAGCCTTCTATCAAGAATTACTTCTAGATAAGCGATATTTATGATATTTATTTGCGCCAAATAGTATGCAATGTTTTATATTTTTTATTTAATTTTTTTTTTTGAGATGTAAAAAATTAAAACTTGAAATTGATGAACTAAATATCGGTTTTTTTATAAAAAAAAATTGGAGAGGTATCCGACCATTGGCATCGACTATGAGGTGTGACATCCTTGGACAGGATTTATTTTTACGAACGGATTTATTTTTATAAACGGAAATTACGTGTCTTCTGTTTTTAGCTCTACTTTCATAATCAGCTGGATTTTCCCCGAACTTATTGTTTGTGTAGCACAGTGTTACAGGAAAAAATCAAGAGATTTTGAAAGGTAAACTTAAAATAGAGCAATCCGAGGATTATTTTGGTCAAAATTGTAACCCTCAATCAAAGCGCTAATGTGCCAAATGAAGATCTGCCATCTGTATAAACATGAGCTCTGAGTTGTTTATCCCCTCACGGTAGCGCTGCCCTGATCTTCACTCCCAAATTGAAAATTATTTTTATTTATGCACCCATTGAGCCAATAATGAAAACATATTTAGTCCTTGTTTGGTAAAATCTTAAATATTCTCGATCTGGTACATCCCAATACACTTACCAGCCCCAATCCCCCTCCCCTTCATCTCAGCCAACCACAAAACACTCATTTAACTTTTCAAACCATTATATTGTTATTATTTATTTATATGTACGTATGTTAAATACACACACCAACAACAACTACAAAACAACAACAAATACAACAACGTATACAAATAACCCCATAACTCCAAACAACAAATTGTTATTAAAAACCTACAATAAAACCAACAACTACAACAACAAAAGCATGTGCATGCAACAAGAAATTGTAATCAAGATGATAGTAAAGAAGTCCAGAAGGATGATGAACGGGACAAGGGACACCATCTAAAAGATAGCCGTGAACAAGTTCATGGGCAATCTCAAAGGCAGCAGCGGCAGCGGCAACCAGAACGACTGGAAAAAGACCAACAACAAGAACAATGTACAAAAATAACAAGCATAGTTTTACCCGATACAAGACCACCACCACCACCAGCAACAGCACCACAATCAACATCCTCTTCGTCGTCTCCCAGACAGGAACAACAACATCATCAGCAATTACAATCTATCATCATCAGGGGTTTAGATAGCTCAACTCCAGCAAAAACGTGTTCAAGCCATGATCAATATGCCTTTGTTGATGATGGTCACAATGAACATTCTAGCCATGAAGATGGTGATAATAATAATAATGATGATGTTGTTGTTGCTGTTGCTGCAGCACCTCCTTTCGATACAACATCAATAACTAATAACACAAATTCGATTGCCACCACCACCATCACCACAAGCATCAACGGCAACAACATTTGCAGCAGCACAACCACCACAACCTGCTCTCCCTACACCATAAATATAACAGCAGCAACAACAAAGATCAGCACCGCCAACACCAGCACGACCACTGTCACTTCTTTGCCAGCTTCTGGTTCTGGCATCTATGGCAATAACCTAAAATCCTCCTTAAATTTTCATAATAACTCGGAAAATGCTGAGGATGCTGCCGGTAGCTCCAAACGCCAGCCAAATGATGAGCTTGATCAGCGTTGTGTTGCTTCTGCTGCTGCTGCTGTTGCCGTTGCTTCTGCTAATGATGATGTTGTTCTCATTGGTGACACGCAAGACATGCCAGAAGGTGGTGGTGGTGGTACAAAGAGTGCCAATGTTATTGTTAATAGATTTTGTCATGATCTTGAGGATAATCTTGGCAACAATTGTCGCTACACATACGAGCCATGTTATAAACAAAACAATTTGTTTAACTATCAAAATAGGATGTTAAACTTTGAAGGTAATCATCATCGTCTACAACAACAGCCACATCATCATGATTTGAGAACAGCACCACAAAATTATTCACCCAAATGAAAAGGAATCACGACTTCACTGGCGAAACATACGGAAAACCTTGAAAGAAACACAGCTTGATCTCAAATCCCAAGAAAATGTTATAATTTAAATCAGGGCCGGGCAAATACGGCCCCACAAGGCTTCAATGAGCTTAATTTTCTACACACTCAAAATCAGACCCATTGGGAAACAACGAAACCGGAAATTAACAAAATTGAGAGAACAGAACCGAGCGATTCTTTGCCTGGCCCTGATTTAAACCATTTCATCATTGAAACACTTTCAATTTTCGTTATCAAAAGAAAAGTTATGTTTCCTTCACCGGTTTCCAGTGTTTTTGTGAAATTCCATGTCTGTCTCACTACACTCAACTTTTGTTGAAAAGCTGGATTTCGATTTGTCCATTCTATTTTCAATCTCCATCACAAGCCCTATTCACTGTCCTTCTATATGCTCACTCTGTGTGTGATACGTCTCTTTTTGTGTCTCAAATTCTATGTAAATTTCACTTTATTTCACGTTGCTATGCACATACTTCTTGTTTTACTTCACCAACACAATTACACCTATTTTACTCTTTACACATATACACAAAAAAAATCTATACTATAAATATCAACATTTTATATTAGATTTAAGTAAGTTGCATTGAAAAGAAATTGACTTATTCATAGAAGAGAAAAGACGAACGAGAAAGATATAATAACAATCCTCTCTCTCTCACACTCTTTCTTTTATTATCCACAACTTAGCATCCTTCCAATGCAACTAGTTCTATAAAAATCTTATTTATATAAATTAATTCTTTGAAATTTCTTTTGAAATCTTATTTCTAAGGAGATGGCTAAATTTTGAAGCATACTTTAAGGCTTGGGTATTTCTTTGACTACAAATATGACCAAATCTTCAAATAATACATATTAAAGTATTTGAAAGCCTTACGAAATTTTACTAATCCCCACGTGTTCCTTAATTTCAGACCTAGTTTGTAAAATTTTTAGTTTCAGATCCTAGCGTATTTGGATTTTAGTATTCACCTATAATTCTTTGTCTTCTGCAGTCAAACCTTTTTTATACCCTTCACCATGCTTTGGAGGGTATATTAAATTTTTCATTCCGTTTGTAACTCCTCGAAATACTCATGTCAGACCCAAAAAGTTTATATTTATTCTTGATCAACGTAAAATTCTAAGTCGATTTAGCGGTGTCCGCCTGTCTGTCTATCTGTCCGTCTGTCTGTCTGCCTGTTTTGAGGTAGAAGGCTAAAATTTTGCGCACATGGTTATTTTGCCTCTAGACAGGTTAAGTTCGTAAATGGCCCATGTAGGTCCTCACTTTCATATAGCCCCCATATAACGGTACCTCCCGATTATTCACCGGAATTGTTTCAAATTTAGTATTTGAAGTTTGTAATGGATACTACAGCCTAAGATAGAAAATTGTCTGTGCAGGTCCTCGTTTTCATATAGCCCCCATAAAACGGTACCTCCCGATATTCGGTATTTTGATGATTTTAGCGACATTAATCACCGGAATTGTTTCAAATTTGATATTTGAAGTTCAATATGGGTACTACAGCCTAAGACAGAAAAGTTTCCGTGCAGGTCCACGTCTTCATATAGGCCCCATATATCAGTGCCTCCATATATTCGGTATTTTGATTTTAGGTACAATACTCACCGATATTGTTTGAGATGTCGTATTTGAAGTTGGTAATGGATGCTACAGCCTATGAAAAAAAATTTTCTATACATGTCAGGGTTTTCGTATAGCTCCGATATAACGGTACCTCTCTATATACAGTATTTTGATGATTTTAGGATTTTAACATCAAATCGGATGAACAATTTATATGGGAGCTATAGCTATATCTGAACCGATTGTTGTGCAAAATTAAATACTGTTCGGGCTGATATTACACTTTTGGTGCACAATAAAAGGCAAATCGGACGAAGATATATATGAGAGCTATATCTAAATTTTGACCGATTATCCCCAATTTCATTAGGGTTCGTCCTTAGGCTAAACAAATGATCTGTGCAAAATTTCATATGGATAAATGCGAACTGTACTATGCTTACACAAATACATGGACAGGCGGACGGACGGACATGCATAAATCGACTCAGAATGTGATTCTATGCAGATCATCAAAAGGAACTATGGGTCTATCTCGTTTCCTTTTGCTTGATACAAACAAATGCACAAAGACATAATACCCTGACCACCTGTGTGGTTGTAGGGTATAAAATGTGGACGAGGGGCGAATTTGTCCTCTCTATTGAGGTTACTTTAAGATTTACACAATCTATCCCTCAAATCGCCGATACATTTGTCTTCTATTTTTAACCCTACTTTTATAATCTAGTGAGCTTTTCCTCTAATTATTTGTTGTGTTGTTCAATTTCATATAAATTAACCCTGTCCTGAAGTTACTTAAGACTATCATCTGGCGTAATTATCCTTGCATATGATGGCGATGAATTAAAAAGAACGTTGCCTTTTTGAGGCAGGATTGTAAATTCTCCATAAAAGGTGTATTTGTTTGAAGAGAGAGAGTATCTTTCGTTGGTTCGCTTTTATCCACGATCATAGGAGTTTTAAGATGTTAGTTCTTTTTCCCCGGAACGTCAGCATAGCAAACTAAGGAAGTAACTGGCTGAGAGAATATTGTCTTCTTGGGTGATAGTTGTAAATCCTACGAGAAGTCATTTTCACGAGAAGTCATTTTAAATAGTACATTTTTCACGAGGATTTGGAAGTTGACGTTTTGAGATGGTGTCAGCATTAAAAATTGTCTTTTTCTTCTTTTTTCTCTCTCGCCCAAGGGAGGTTGCATAGAATACCAATAGAGTAACTGCCTATGAGACCTTTATAGGAGACGATTATGTTTCCATCTTTTTATACCCTCCATCATAATATGTAGGGCATATTAAGTTTGTCATTCTATGTCGATTTGGCGATGTCCGTCCGTCTGTGGAAATCACTCTAACTTCCGAACGAAATGAAGTAGGTTGATAAAATTTAACTCAAATGTGTATTATGTCTGCAGGACTTTTGGTATTGAAAATGGGTGATGTAGGTCCAGAGAAGGTCCACGTCTTCGTATATCCCCATATAACGGTACCTCCCGATATTCGATATTTTGGTGAATTAAGCGACATTATTTACCTGAAATGTTTCAAATTTGATATTTGAAGTTCTTAATGGATACTACAGACTATGACAGAAAACGACATAGATACTACAGACTATGACAGAAACTTGGACCACGCAGGTCCAAGCCTTCGTATAGCCCCCATATAACGGCACCTCCCAATATTCGGTATTTTGATAATTTTAGCGACATTATTCACCGGAAATTTGGTATTTGAAGTTCGTAATCGATACTACAGCCTATGACAAAGAATTGTCCATGCAGGTCCACGTCTTCGTATAGCTCCCATGTAACGGTACCTCCCGATATTCGCTTTTTTTATGATTTTTTTCAAGTTTCGCAATTGAATATTGTAATGGTTTATGGCAAAAGTTGCCTATGCAGGTCCATGTCGTCGTCGTATTTTTAAGACTTTAACAGAAATTTTAACGGATATTATTTTTATTTTTAATTGCCAAATTCGTTCCAAATGGTGAAGGGTATTCAAAGTTCAGCCCGGCCGAACTTACAGCTTTTTTACTTGTTGTTTTTTTTTTTCTAAACAGGTATTGGGTTTGCTCTTCTTTACTTTCTGTTACCCAATTTGATTGATCTTTGGGTTCACTGTGGGTTTGGGGCTCCGAGAATAGTTTTACGAAATCGAACTATCAACCTTTAATTTTGATAGTTCGGTTTAGTAAACATATATTCTTGGAGCCCAAAACCCACAGTGAACCCAAAGATCAAATTGGGTAACAGAAAGTAGAGAACCTTTAATTTTCGTTAGTCAGGATGCTTATCGACTAAGATTAGCGGAAGCATGGTTCCCCAAAAATATAGTCTTCTAATTTGTGATTTCAAAACTTATAACATAACTCTTGCTAACCTAACTTGAATGTTTATGTTCACAAATTCTATGTATGAGTCATAACACTTAACAACTTACTAATTTTCCTCTACACTTACTAATATATCTTAAACAATGTTAAATTTTTTTCGGCCTTGGTTACGGATTCTGTATGGTTTCTAAAAATTTATATCTAAATGTATCATAAGTCATAAAATTAAGTCAAATAATTAGTCAACACAACTAACCTATTTCATTTTTATTATCCCTCACAACAACCTACCTACCTACCAACTCTCCCGTCCTGGTATAGGTTTAAAAACACCATCATCAACAACAACCACAACATCAGCCAAAACAACATTTGGTAAAAATTTGAAAACGTTGAGCAATCAAAAGAAATTGAACACTGGCAAATATACACGACAACAGATACAACAACAACAGCAAAAATCGCCACAACAAATAACAATGTTGTCCCCTCACAGCAGCAGTGAAATATTGGCGTTGGCAAAACCGACGCCAACCTCAACGACCTCGGTGGGAAAAACGCCAAATGGAAGGCCAATGTATCGTTCAATAAAAACATTTCAAATTAAGGATAACAAACAGGGAGAAATTGAGGCAAAACATATTAGTGAACACAAACAGCAACAACAACAACAACAAGAAACAACATTCAAATCCTCCATACAACAACAACAACCACAACAACCAGCACCAACAACATTAAAATCTGTACTAAACCCAGTGGAATTACCAAAGAATTTTAGTGCTAATAATACAATTAATTTAAATTTAAATTATCTATTAAATATGGAACATAAAAGGCCACATAATAATAATACAGCAACACCAACAACAAATACAGACCATACCATTAATAATAACAACAACAGCAACAACAGTAAACCAATATTAACATCTACTTTGGCAACAAAAAATATGAAAATTGCCGAAAAATGTGCAATAAATTTGAATAGTTTTGCAGATATCATACAAAAAACGAAAACAACAACAGCAACAACAACAATGCCAACAATGCCAACAAAAACCAAAATAATTGATAATAAGCATAAAGGAGATGATGATGATGATAGCGTTAAAAAATATCCGCCACAACACTTACGACAATCCTCCCAAAAGCCAAACAAATACACCTTGAAATCAACAACAACAGCTACACACAAAAATGCGAACGAACAACAATTTCATCAACTACAACAACAACAACATCATTTGCAACAACATCACCACCATAACACTCTATGTCATGATACGGATACGATGACAATGAAAACAAAACGATCCCGTATTAGTAGCTCACCCCCTCCCTTAAATGGAAGGGACGTTGAGCTGAACACTATTTGCACCATCAGCAGCACCAATACCACCACCGCCGTCAAAGGCACCATCAATTCGAAAAGTCACCAACAATCAGCCCAAAACACAGCATCATCACCATCTAATAGCAGCACCCCTGCAACCACACCAGTTGCTTCAAAACCGTCATCAAAGGCCACCAAACGCAACTCATCACCCTCAAAGCGCTTCGAATTGGAAATTTAACAAAGGAATAATGGAAGAGTATCAGCAACCATTGTTCCGGAATTTGAATGTCCTGCAAAGGTATATTTTAGTTTTTCGTTTTGCATTGCTTTGAAAATATTGGAATTTTAAATACGTCGGGCAGGAAAATTTTAATAACGTCTTTTGAGAAAAGCTCAAAACTGACCGAGAACAATGCTACTTTCAATTTAAAAATAAAGCTTAAAGCTTTTAAAAAGCAAACATAAAGGGTCTTTAGATTCGGTGGTTCTGTACTGGGATTCTGTAACTAATATTTTGAATTACCGACAAAAATCGGTAGCTTTGAAACCAAAATTTTGATTTGAAAAAGAAATTGAAGTTGAAAACATTGATATCTATCGGTAGGTCTCATCGACTACTTTGATTTCGTCGCTAACTTACCGACAAATTTCGTAAATTATGAGCATTTTGATTTTACCGACTCTTGTCGGTAACTCAAAAAATGAGTTAAGGAATTTTACTACTGATGATGACTTGTCTTCTTTGGAGAATCTTTGGAGAAATATTACGATCTGTTCCAGAACTGGAAGAATATAAAAGTTTTTACTATGATAATCGATTTTCCATTTATGATATCGAAAAAAATGCAAAACTAGGAGATTCTTGCAGATTCTGGAACAGCCCTATTAGTTATTTTCCAGAATATGCAAGAACTATTTTCCCAATTTTTACTCGAACTCGAACTTGCAGACAAAAATATCAGAACACATGCAAATATGGCTACGTTTTCCTTGAACATTTTGGCCCAATGAGAAATAGTAACATGGTTACCAGATTCTGATTAGCTGATGTGTAAATTTTGAAGGATTACCATCTAATTTTGACATTTTTACTAGTTTTTTGTTTTCGTACTTTCAGAGCAAAGCAGTTTTCTTGGAGCGAAGTTGACAATGACCTCTTTTACTAGTTTAACCATTAAACAGTACGGGAACACAACAATTTCTAAATGCTTAAGAATTTTTTAAAAAGAGAGTGAGGGACGTACACAGGTAGGGGGCCGGATCCGCTCGAAAATTTAATGTTTCTAGCTTTTCCATTGTAAACTTTACAAGCTTGGAAGAGTCCATTTCTAGGTCCGAAATGCATTCATGTGTACATCTTTGCATAAATAATCAGCTGTGGTGAAATTTCAAGAGGACAATATTAGAAAAATGATGGAGGATGGTTTGAAGTTAAATGGTCTAATATAGGGCTATTTGGTCTTGTAAGAAGAGAGGGAGAGACTTTTTTATCCGATACCTTCGTTTTATAATATACAGACAGAGAAGGACTTTTATCAGCAGCCCTGATATAGGCATTGTAAAAATATTTTATTAAACTTAAAAAATATATTTCTGGGGGCTCAATTTTCATTCTTTATAATTATAAAATTAACACTTTTATAAAGGAAAGATATTTTAAATAAAATTTTTTATAAAGAAAATATTTGTCATTTAAATGTTCATAGATCCAGAAGCCAGTCTCTGGAAATCTTAAAACCACCCATCGATACTGGTTATCGAATAAATATCGTAATTTACTCTTTGATTCATCTGCTGAAAATGAAAATAGAAAAAGAAAACTTTAATAAAAGACAAAAAATGCCAAAAGAAAATTTTCATTAATTATATATTTCTCTTTTCAAATTTTCATCGAACATGAACCCGACCAGTAGTGGAATTCTCTAACTCATTTTTTGAGTTACCGACAAATTTCGGTAAAATTAAAACGCAAATTATGAATGAAAAATCTAAATTAAAATAAAAAACACTTTTGCTATCGTTACGACTTGGCGAATAATTTATTTTGGTCGCTAAGTTGCCGAAAATATTCGTTAATTTCCGAAGTTATAAGCATTTTAATTTTAACAATTTTTATTGGTTACTTAGAAAGCGAATCAGAGAATTGCATCACAAGTTGGAACCCAAGACGGGACCGTCATGAACAATCGATATGATTTCTAGCTTCTAGATCTCCATCTTATGGCCTATCGCCTGCTCGTCATTTTTTGGTCTGGTTGAATTGAGTCATTAGCAAAATTTTATATATATCCTCATTGGGTATTGTTTCCATCCACAATATTCTACATAAAAGTCATTGGTATACACCAAGTATATTTTATGGCAAAACACGACCAGAAAGGTGAGTCAACTTCGAAGGAACAAGGAAATATGCAACTCTGTACCAGAGGCGTATTATGCCAGACTCTAAAAAAATGAAAAAATTAAAATTTTATTAAAAAAAGATATTATCGGAGGGTAAAACACGCAAACCATAGAAGGAATGTGAAATGACAATTGAATTCGAGAAAACCAAAAATTTTTAGAGTTTGTTATTTTTGTTTGTACAGTCCGTAAATTTCAGTACGTAATTCTGAGCATTACAATCTCAGAAATAATTTTTCTCAGGAAAAAAATCGTTTAAAGTCAGCAGGGGATTACGTTATTCTGCCAATTATTTTATCATAATTTTTGAAGTAACTAATTACAAGATTCGATTAAGGTTAATGCAAGCAACCCATTTGGAGACGGTACTCAGCCATATATGTCCTTTAAATTTCCACAAATATTTAACTTACTCTTCTTCGCTGCAGTATGGACAAAAGAGTGTCGGATTATTTTTGTGCGATACATTTCTTAAAGTGTTTGTTGCTATACTTTGCGTTTTTTTTTTTTAATTTTTGAGTAGCACTATCTTTTTCTCCTCTAAAAAATATTAAATTTTGTTGGAATTTCAGATTTCTGTGTTTCGATAATGAACTGCAAGGTAGAGACCGCAAATTGTTTATATCACTGTTTCTTTTGATCGCTTGCAAAATATGTATTTTTTTATTAATAGTACTTTGTATGGACTGTTTCCTTCTATTCTTATGCGAAGTAAAATAGCATTCGAGATCAGAATTTGCAAGGGAACGCTATCTGCGAGGAACTTCTGATTCGGTTTTTGGGGAAGAGTACAAGCGTATACTTTGATATTCTATATCCGAAAAAGGAAAGCTAATTTCGAAAGGAAGTTGTTCCATTTGTTTTTGAAAATCGAGAAAATTTTGGAAAAATTACACAGTTTTTCTTATTTTATTGACTTTCAACTTTTCATTAATTCAAGTTATGGGTTCATATAAATCCATTTCGTCAGTGCTATGTAGGGAGCAGCAACCACATTATATTTGAATAAAAAGTTTAGAGTTTCGTTCCAAAGGCATACAACTGTAAACATTGGGCAAAATCCATATTGCCTTTTAATATCACGATCAGGCTATAAATAGTCGACGATATGAAAAAAATCCATTAGAAAATTTACAGAAATATGTTATTCTGATATCGCAAAAAATGTCGGTAAACTGCGGAGAAAAACAACAGATATAATAGATATAGACTCAAAAGCGTAATCCAGAGCATTTGAAAATGAAATGTCTAATCCTATTTTTTGCCTTTGTATTCAACCACCACATTCCTGTCAAAAACTATTATTTTTTTTCTAGGTTTACGACTTTTTCGACGTATGTATGATACGTCGGAAAAGTATGTAATATACGTCAGAATTTCTAACAGACCATCTATGGGCTGGTATCAAAATGGTATTTATGCGTACAGTACCGCATTGAATTTGCCTGGGTATGACCTAACAAATCATCTAATCTACAGCGCCCTCAAGGTGTTGCAATACAAAGACAAGAGCTTTTCACCTCAAGTTAGCAAAAACAGATTATAAATCCTGCCATCTATTTCAAGCAATGCAAAACAAACAAAAGCTCTTTTAAAGCTTTTGTCTTGAAAAATAAACTAAAATATGCCTCTGATTTTGTAATCCAATTATGAAGATATTTAACAATTATTATTATTAACATCATTATCATTATTTTGTTATTTGTTACGATGATAATTATTTTGAAATTAAATAAAAATAAATAAATCATAAAAAATGTGTATGAATTCTTCAATTATATAAATTTTATTGTAAAAAAATATTTGTTTTGATATCAAATAAATGCAGTTTGAGCTCAATTTAATCAATTACTAGAAAATATTTTTCATTGAAAAAATTTCTTTATTTTGGTAAATTTTAAAAATAAAATAAAAAAACTCGAGCTCTTTCTGTTTTATTTATATTTTGCTTGTCACATATTTTTGTTGTTATTATAGTTTTGTTAATATTTACTCTATTCAACACAAGTATATATATCAAAGCATTTAATGCTAAAAATAACCCACAACCCACAAAAAAAAACAAAAGCAATTTTATTAAACCAAAATGCCAAAAATAACACGAAAATATAATTTCCACTTCAATGTGCCTACTTACCATATTTAATATATATTTTGTTGTTATTAAAATATTTACATAAAAAATTAACCGGTTAAAACGACAGAAATCTTTAAGAAAAAAATTTTGTTGTTATTTGAGTATAAATTAAAAAAATAATAATAAATATATAAATTGAAAAACGTTTTATGTTTTTTTATTACTTCAAAAATTGATTTAATATCTTTATCATACTTATTATAAAAATAATGATTTTTTTTATTATAAATATAAATGTTAAAAATCGTATTTGTATGACGTCTTCTTTAATATCTGTTTTTTTGTCTTATTTTAAATATGAACATAAATATTTTTAATGTTGTTTTCTTTTTGTCATTAAATTAATCATTATTTTTATTACAAATATTATATCTAATAACAAGAAATATTATTATCATCCCCTATATAACATATCTAACTAATAATGAAAACCCCATATTTAAAATATAAAAAAAAATTTGTTTTGTTAACCATTGAAATAATTACAAATATATACCCTTATAAATAGTTTTAAATATGACGATATGATATATATTTATGAAAAACCAACATGTATAAGAGAGAGAGAGAAAAAAACCCAACCCATTTTATTAAAACATTTTTATTGTGAAGAAGAAAAATCATAAATAAAGTTAATTGTTAAACAAAATTGACTTTTCTCCGAAATCTGTTTAATTTGAGGACAAAGTGGTAAGAAAAGGAGTGGAAAAAAGTTTATCAATTTATCAAACATATATACCACACAGGGTGAGGTAAAAAAACTGCAACCAACATCAGACTACTGTCATTTCTAAGCCACTCGTCCGACAGCTGTTAAAATTATTCCAGTGACATATTGTTTACAAGCGTACAAAATCATTTTGGTCAGAATTTTCCAGAAAAAAAGTTATTCTTGATGGAATTCAAGCGTGATAGTATGATTCCTGCATATTAAGCTGGAAAACCATAAGTCTCTAAAAAATATTCTGGAGAGTTTATTAAAGCCTTGGGCACGCAAACATTCTGACCGCAGACCTTGGACATTTCAAAATGTCTCAGCTCCATCGCATCCAGCACGCGCCACCCAAAAATGGTTACTAAATGAGGCTCCTTACTACCTTTCCAGCGCACAATGAGCACCAAAATCTACGGATACCAATCCGTTGGACTATTATGTCTAGAGTATTTTGGAAAGCAAGTGTCGATCACCTCAAGCAAGCGCTTCGCCGGGAATGGACCAAAATATCGCAGAGCAACATTCGGGCAGCGTCTGTCGAAAAATTCCACTCAAAAGAAAACCGTTATATGGGGGATATACGAAGACGTGGACCTGAATAAGTATTATTTTCTTTTTTTTTTTGTCATACGCTGTAGTTCCGATTTCGAACTTCAAATACAAAATTTTAAACAAAACGATTGAATAATGTCGCTAATATAATAAAAATTAAAGCAGTTCCGGTGAATAATATTGCCAATAGCGGTGAATAATATTGCCATTTCTGCTGATGTTGCAGTTTTCTTCCGTCCATTTCCAGTATCACGAAACTTACTGATTTTTTAATAACAAAATCTTTAGAAATTGAGCAAAAGTTATGATTATAACACAAAATTTTCCAGATTTATGACGTTAAATACATTTCATACGTTTTATACAGCTCTATGACGTTTTCGACGTTTACAACTTTGTTACAGTCGAAAAAAAAAAACAAAAATATATTGTCATCAGACCATCTCTGAGTCAGATTGTTTTAATATATTGCACTTCTCAATATTTTTATCAACACAAAATCGTGTGAGGTTCTCTCCTTCGGGTACCTCCCTCACAAACGGTCAAAACTTTGAATGATCCTCTCTCATATAGAATACGGAATAAGAGTCCTTTGGTCTTCAAAATTTCGTACATCCCAATTCTTCGACCAACACAAGATTTGATATCGTTAACTGGTAGTACGGACCCCTGCTTTTGGCATCGGGTCAAATTTTTAAATAACCATGACGCTCGCTCATAAAAGTGTGATGTGAGCATCCGATTTTTTTCAAACGTGACAGATTCTAATACTTCCACCAGCACAAGATCAAGTATGGAGATGGGATACATCCGCCTACGCTTTCGGGTACCTTACCCATGATGGGCCAACATTATGAATAATGAAAAGCCAACATTTATCTGATGTATACATGAAATTTATTAATTTAGTATTGATATCTCAATGGATCGGGTAGTTATTATAAAATAGGCTATTACAAAATAGGCTGATGGGTTATTTTAATACCCTGCAATTTGTCATTCCGTTTGTAACATTCCTAAATATTCGTCATAGACCCCATAAATTATATATATTCATAATCCACATAAAATTCTAAATGAAAATTAGATATATCTGTCCACGTTTTGGTATAGTCCCAATATAACGGTATCTTCCGATATTCGGTATTTTAATGATGATTTTCAACGGATTTGTGTAAAAATTTGTAGTTTCTAGCTCGTCAGGCGAAACATTGTAAGTATAGGTCCAGGATTTGGTATAGCCTCCATATAACGGTACCTCCCGATATTCTATACTTTTATGATTTTTGTCACATGTTTTCACGGATTTGTCAAAAAATTAATCTTTGTAGGTCATAATGTGTTCTACCTTAGGCGAAAGATTAAAGGTCCACGTTTTGGTTTAGCCCAAATCGGTACCTCCCGATATTCGGTATATTCATGATTTTTTCGCGGATTTGTCTAAAAATTGGTATTTGGGGTCATAATGGGTTCTAGCTCGTATGGTGAAACATTGTATGCATAGGTCCACGTTTTGGTATAGCCCCCATTTAACGGTATCTTCCGATATTCGGTGTTTTGATTATTCTTGCCACATTTTTTAACGAATTTGCCCAGAAATTAGAATTTGATGTTCATAATGGGTTCCAGCTCGTGTGGCAAAACATTGTATGTATAGGTTCACGTTTTGGTATGGCCCCCATATAACGGTACCTGTCGATATGTTGATGATTTTTGCCCATTTTCCCATGGATTTGTCTTAAAATTGGTATTTGCAGTTTATAATGGGTTCTAGCCCGGTGGCAGAACATTGAATATTTAGTTGCACGTCTTCCTATAGCCCACATATTCGGTATTTTGATAATCCTAGTCAATACAAAAAATGTTCATAGAGGTTCGGTATGACCCCATATAACGGCCTCATTCACTTTATGATTTTTTTTTATAGCTTTAACTGCATTATCCAAACTGTTTTACTTGTATATGAATTTTAAAGTGAAACACGCTTGAATTTCCTTTACCCTAAGGTGGAGGGTATATTATTAGTTCGGCCCGGCCTCCGTTTTGTTATTTGTTCATTTTCCTTCTAACATATTTTCAAATGCACTTTTTCTCCTTTAACTCCTACTGCTTCAGTATCGGCAAATATATTCTTCACAAGAGTTATGTTTTGATGCTGGGGAGAAATTTGACTGGATGTTCATAAAAATTTGATAGTCTGCAGTTGAAACAAAAACTCATATTGTGATTGTCATTTTTTTTTTTTTTTTTTTTGTTATCGTGAACAATTGTTTATTTTAACAAAGTCTGCTTTTTTACACACATACATATGTGTGTGTCTTAGAAATGGAGTAGTTTTCTTATAATCTTATCATTTTTTTTTTTTTTTTTTTTTGAAATTTATCAATTTTGTGTTTCATTAAAACATTGTTTTTTTCTAAGTGTTTTAAAACAGTTTCCAAAACAATTTTTATTTTCTATCCCATATTTCCCACTGGCTCGTTGGTCTAGGGGTATGATTTCCGCTTAGGGTGCGGGAGGTCCCGGGTTCAAATCCCGGACGAGCCCAAGTTGTTAATTTTTTAGTTAAATAAAATTATTGAGGTAATCCGTATATTTACGGCATGAAAAAAAGTAAAGGAAGTAGTTATTGTCTAAATTGTGAATTAGAAATCCATAGGGCTTCATCTTTATCCACAAAGAAATAACCTTCCCAACTACAACATTCACAGTAGATGAAGTGAAGAGTCATACAAAAGATACGCTTACAACAGAAAAAGAAACTGGTTTGTGGTTGTGTTACCAATTCAATGCATTGACAATAGCCATGCACATGACCATGGTGTCATGCATACAAATTTTTGGTAATTAATTGAAGACCTTCACTTTGTTAATATGCAGAAGAGCGTCTGTCGTTATCACTATTTTTTTGGAATTTGAAAGTGACAAAAAATTTTTTGGGCTTTAAAAATGAAGTTTTTTTTTTTGTAATTTTTTATTAAATGGATCTTGTACGTTTTGCATCTGGCTCGTTGGTCTAGGGGTATGATTTCCGCTTAGGGTGCGGGAGGTCCCGGGTTCAAATCCCGGACGAGCCCAAGTTGTATAAATTTTTTGTAGAAATATGAATTTTTGTTATTTATTTTGTATATACAAAAATTAAACCCAGATTGTTTTCTATCGAGCTTCAGATCTTGTGTTTAATTATAAAATTGAAATGTGGAAAAAAATTCAAATAATTATGGTATGGAATTCTCAATATCAATCAATTTTTTATGGAATTTTTGTCGCTAATAAAAAGGAAAAATCTGTTATTGTAGTAAAAACTTAAATATTCTTGCAGTTCTAGAACAGAAATTTATTATTTATTGCTATAACGAGGTCGATTACTCTAGAATTCCAAACATGATCGCCATATCATAAAGGCATGTGTAAGCTTAACCCTCATTCGGCTCGTTGGTCTAGGGGTATGATTTCCGCTTAGGGTGCGGGAGGTCCCGGGTTCAAATCCCGGACGAGCCCAAGTTGTGTAGATATTTTGGAAAACGTTGTTATATTTTTTTAAATTTGAATTACGCAATTTTCAATACTGGAGTAGTTCATGTCAAACTACTTTAAAATGCAGAAGATTTTGTACTAAGCGCTTCTTATTTTCAAGAGTTCTCAACATGATCTTGAATTATA